CACATCCATCATCCCTGAAGTCCCTGGAACCCCCTGTGGTCCCTTCCTCCTGCCCTTCCCACTCCACCCATCCCAGCTCACCCTGATTTGCTTTCTGTCACTGCAGATTAGTTTGCATTTTCCAGAATTTTATAAGTAAAACCATGGAGTATGTCTTCTTCTTCTTTTGGCTTTCTTCATATAGTGGAATTATTTTGAGATTTGTTCATGTTGGTACACACATCAGTAGTTCATTTCTTTTTATTGCTGAGTAATATTCCATTTATGAATACACTACAATTTGTTTATAAACCTGTTGATGGAGATTTGGGTTGTTTGCACTTTGGGCTTATTAAATATAAAATTCTATGAACATTTGAACCTAAGTGTCTGAATGGACAAATGCATTCCTTGTGGGGAAATATCTAGGAGTGGAATGGCTAGATCATACAATAGGTATATGTGTAAGTTTTAAGAAGTGACCAAAGTTTTCTAAAGTGGTTATACCACTTATATTCCCCCTAGTAGCTGTAGTGCCAGCTTCGTGGGAGGCTGCGGTGGGAGGATCACTTGAGCCCAGGAGTTTGAGGCTACAGTGAGCTATGATTAGGGCACTGCACTCCAGCCTGGGTGACAGAGCCAAGACCCTGTCTCTAAAAGTAATACAAATAATGTAAATTGTTGTAGAAAAGTAACCCTTAACTCTATAATTCAAAGATAATTCTCTGTCCATTTTATATACTTCAAATATTTTTCCATTTTATAATTTGCATTTTAATTTGATTTATAGGTTTTCTTAATATAAAGATTTTTTAAAATGCTACCATTCTTTGTCTTTGAAACCATACATATAAAATTCTACTCTCTGTTTGTTAGTTTTTTTGGGGGGAGGATTCCCATTTAAATATTTAATCTGTTTAATACTTAAATTATAGACTAGGAAAAACTTTCAACTATGGAAAAAAATAAACTTATAAACTAACTATGTCTTCTTTTTTTCTCTTTTTGATCTGGCTTTGTTCACGCACTGTAATTATTTTAAGATTTATTCATGTTGTTGCATGTATCAATCATACATTTGTTTTTATTGCTGAGTGGTATTCCATTGTGTAAATATATACTACTTTATTCATAAATCTGTTGATGGACATTTGGGATCTACATTGATTTCCTATCAATACTATAACAAATGGCCACAAACAGTGGCTTGAAACAACACAAATTTATTACTTTACAGTTCTGGAGGCCAGAAGTCTGATATGGGTCTCTCGGGGCCAAAATGAAGGTGTCCGGGGGACTATTTTGCTTTCCGGGGACTCTAGGGAAGAATCTATGCCCTAGCCTTGTGCAGCTTCTAGAGGACACCCCCGTTCCATGGCTGGTGTCCTCCTTCCATCTTCAAAGTTGTCATGGCATCACTGCCACCTCTGCTTTCATCATCACTTCTGCTTCTCTGAGAGGACCCTCCCGCCCTGTCTTATAAGGACCCTTGTGATTATATTGGGCCTACCTGGCACCCTGACCCAGGATGACCTCCAATCTCAAAATCCTTCAATCATATCTGTTTGCCACGTAAAGTCACATGTTTACAGGTTCTGGGGATTAGGATGTGGCTTTCTTTGTGTGTGTGTGTGGCAGGGGGGGCATTGTTTCACCTACCATAGGATCTAATATTGCTTTTTATCCAAATGGCTCCACAGTTGGCCCAACATTATTAAATAATTAATCCATGGTTTCTCCACTGATGTGAAATGTCCAATTCATCATAAAAGAAATTCATATGGGATGTATATTTATTTCAGAGCTTTCTATTCTATTCCTCCGATCAGTAGAACAAAATGCACACCGTGCCCCGCTATAGTTTAGAGTTCAAGCTTCTTCCCTTGGCTCTTGGCACCTTCACGGCCCTCTCCCGCCCCTCCTCTGGGCATCACTGCCTGCCGTGCCTGGCGGGCCTGCTGCCCTCCAGCCAAGGCCAAGAGAGTTTAGTGCTATGGTGACCTGCCTGACCTGCACATGGCAAGCTAGTCACTAGGGCTGTAGAAGGAACAAGCCACCACCTCTGACTCTGCGGCATTCCTAGTCTGAGGAAGAACTGAATATGTAAAATGAGAATTTTAGCACATCACTGTCATGGTAGAGGCATGTTTTAGCTCACCCACCAGAGGTGCATATTTGTTCCTCAATCTTGATGTTTCCATTTGTTAGCATTCATTAAGAACCACCGTGTTATTCATTTCATCAAATAGCAGAATGTGTTCAAATCCTAGTGTCCCCACCAGCATTCGAATGTCTGTAATAGCATGTCTTACCATGGTCCCTGGTAAAATCCCTGTAAGTATCCTGAGCTCACATGGACGGGCTGTCTGGTATTTGCTCCTCAGCCGGGCAGGACATGCTGCAGGTATTTTTCTAGCCATTATAGACATCTCTCTCACTGTCAAGTGGTGTGTTCTCCAGCAAGTCACTTAACTGCCCTGTGTTTCTGTTTTTCCATTTCTATGTGGCAGAGTAAAACCAGGTGATCTCTAGAGTCATTTCTAGCTTTAAAATTCTATGACTCCATTATCTCTGCCACTGAACAATTATCAAATGTGTGGCTCTGAGTGACACCAACAGTTACAGTCTCTCCCACATCCTCTCCCTGAAACATGTTGATCTGGAACCTCATTTGATTCCTGAAAACATGGGCTGTGTGCATGGTGAGATAAGATCAGAAATGCTTCCCAATCACACCTGGAGGGCAGTGATGGACCCAGTTCCACGGTACAGCACCGAGGAGCCATCGCTGCGGAAGGTTAGGACCCCGGTTTGCAGAGGGGTCTAGACTGAGGCTGGGGAGAGATCCTGCCAAATAATAGGTCACAACAACTTGCTCCCCACACTGGAAGTTCACTCCAGAACCTGAAGATCTGGGTTCAAAATGGAAAGTTCAGTTAGACAGAAGATAGAACTTTTAAAACAAACACAGAAGACAAGGGAGTGGGGCAAGTATTTACCTCTTGAGATTAAAACATAATTTAATACAATGTCTTCATACGATGCAGCCATAAATAGAAATGAGGCAGCTCTTTAGATACTGAAGTGGAATGATCTCCAAGAAATACTGTGTGGGAAAGCATACTAAGTGGGAAAAACAATGAGGAGCATAATGATGTGTATTGTGCAAACCATTTGTACAAAAAGGATAAAAAAGACCATATAGGGATTTTATTTTTATCTACCGCTGTCACTGTCCCTCAAAGAATACTCAAGAAACCATGAACTGTGGCTGCCTCTGAGTAGGGACCTGGGTGGCCAATGGACAAAGGTTGAGGAGGGGGACTTTTCGCTGCATTCCTTTTGGTATATTTTGAATTTTGAATCACACAAACTATTGCCTATTCAAAAAATAAATAACATGAAAACCCCAACAATTATAATACAAATAATTATAAAATTATAAGTTAATACATAATTAAGTTAATAAAGTATAATTATGTGTTAATTATATTAATATGTTTATATAACTATATAATACATCAGTATGTTGCTATAATAGAAATACTGGGAAAATAAATAATACAGCAGATGGACTTGCACTTGAAGCCCAGTTACTAGCTGGGTGGTCTCGGACAAGTCACTTCTCTCTGAGCTTCTGTTTTACTCTGAGCTAAATAGCATCTATTATTATTGCACAACTTCAAGGAGAAGTTGACAGCAGGCAGGGGAGCTGGTGACCGGAGTAGGTGTCAGCTCTGGGACCAGCTGTGGAGAGTGGGGACTGGTGTTGCAAGGACCACAGGGACGCTGGGTACAGGACGGGGACAGGGGAGATGAGGGGAAAGGGGTGACAGAGAGTCTCTCCCTGGGGAAGCAGCTGTTCCTGGCTCCTAAGCCAGAGACGATTTTGTAACTCTAAGCCAAGGCTCAAAGAGTTCCTCCTTTTTCTGGAGCTTTCTTAGTCCCTGGCCTCATCTTGGCCTCTGTTCCTGTAGGGCCATCAACGGGAAAAACATTCTGAGTTTGCCTGCCTGGCCTAGTCCCTGATGGCCCCTTGGCTTGGCAACAGCAGAGAAGCAAAATTTCTCCTACTCGCTCCCTTGTGCGTGGGTGGCCTGGGGTGGCGCGGTGGCGGCTGGCCACAGCGTGGTCCGCCAGGCTGTCTGTGTCATTCCTGCAGTTCCTCATTTTCAGGGATGGGAAAGGGTCAGGAATCAACTGGCAGGTCTTGAGATAGGGAAGTGGCTTATTTTCCCGCTAGTTTTTCTTGTGGGTAAAACAGAGGCACCGAAAAGCCTGAGTCACCCGTGCAGGGGCTCAGAGCAGGGCAGGGCACCAATGCCCGGGATCCCAGCGCCCCGCCCAGCGCAGACCTGCACACCTCGGTCCACCTACTTCCTCCCTGTGGCCTCGCCTTGAAAAATCAAATTCTGTAAGGAGGAACCAAAAAATTGAAATAAAGATTTCAACAATATAAGATTGAAATAAAACTTGGTTTTCATCAGATCACTGTTGGCTCCCCTTCCCCTCCCCCCAGGCACAGCTGCTCACTTGGAGCCACAAGATTAATGGGAAAAATGGAAATAATAGTTCTGTCCTAATTTAATTGTTCCTTCTCTGTAGGCATCACGGCTCACTCAGCCTGGCCTGCCTGAGTACCTTGAAGAGAGCTAGATTTAGAAGAAACATTACTCCAGCTCTCAAGATGGAAAAACATCTAGCCAGGAGGCAGAGACTCTGGAAAATTGCTAATAAATTGTTACTGCCTGCTATTAAAAGGATCGATAAGATAAGGCCAGAAATGACTGATGGGAGGGCCTTGTGCTTTGAGTACTAATGGGGACGGCGGCGCCCGACAGCTCAGAGCAGTCTCTGGCTGGGGCGGCACGTGCCCATTCACCTCCTTCAGCAAGACATCTGCAGCTTCATTCATTGCCCTGCCCATCAGTAGTTATCGACGGTGGTTATGAATAATTAAATCAGACGGCATGTAGGGGTGCTCAGGTGTCAGGGAAATTGCTTTATTTATGTCTGTAGCATTGGGGATGCACCAACTTGCCTCCTCTGTAATTTTATGTGTGGTGCTCTTGTAGGGCAGAATTGGGGTAGGAGGTGCTGGTTCCTTGTGGGGCCAATTCAAGACAGGAAGGAGACCAGATATGCCCCTGGCTCAGCCTCCACTGCAGCCGTGCCCAGCTGCCCTGCACGCCTGCCCAGTTCATGCATCCTGTTCCTGGAGGTGGCCCTGAGGGAGGTAGCAGGGTCCCCACAGCCAGCGGACATCTCGTGCAGTAGCTCTGCTGGGGGACCAACCCCTCTTCCCAGCTGCAGAGCTTCCAGGATCCAAAAGTGAGGTGTCATCAAACGGCCTGCCTGATGGTTCATCCACACACGTCTGTCCCTCCTCTCACTTTCTTCTGCTTGTCAGCGGTGCCAGCAGAGAGGCCTGTGGTGGGATTCCAAGGAGCCCTAGTAGCCGTGTTAGCTGAAAGTTCTGCCTGCTCTCCTCAGGTTCTCCCACAGGCTTCCCAACCCCTAGATCCTCCTGAATGCCTTGGACAAAGCCATCTCCCTACCTAACCTTTCCCCCAACACATACAAGGACCTGCGTTTGCATTCTCAGGGATCACTCTGGGCATCATTGCAAAGAGCAAGGCTACGCTGCGAGGTGGCACGAGTGGGTGGGGGCCAAAGCTGGGGAGGGTGAGTGGGCAGGAAAGCTCAGAATCTGGACTTGGCCTGAGCATGAGCCATCTCTGGGCAAAATGGCAACAAAAACAAATCATTTTTGATGTAAGATGGCTCCTTTGCCATCTCTTCTCTCCTTTCTTTCCCAAATGCCCTTTGATGCATTCCTCTTCTGCTCCAGGGAATTCTGGATTTTGTTGCTTTTTCCTTCCCTTTCTTCCAGACCAAACCAACCCAGTCTCCTTCCCGCAAGGCCTCACACCCAGCCAGTGGCCATGCTCGCCAAGCAGCCTGGGTGTCGTGGGCTTCACGGTAACCATTTAGCAAGTGGCTAATGACTACTGTGTGTGGGCAATGAATGTCCTGTCCTGGAGGGTTCCATGGGTCATCACTCATTCTCATGACTGCTCTCCCTGCCATGCAGGAGCACCCTGAGGAGCAGAGACGAGCCTTGCACAAGGGTACGCATCACCTGTGTTCTGGAGCTCTGATCTGGCCCAAAGCCTGGACTGTGTAGAGGCTTCAGGAAGGGGCGTCTCTAACAGGACCAGTTAAGGAGCAGAAGCAGGGGAATGGCAGGGGAGTGAAACAGGCCCCAGTCCAGCGGCATTCTTGGCATTTGCTAAGATTGGCAGGCAGAGATCGCAGGAAAGCCAGGACGTGAGGACATGGTGGCCGAGAAGTGAATGACACCAGAGACTGGCAACTTCCCAAATCAGCCTCGGGCTGCCTTATCTACCAGAAACAACAACGCTGGTGTGTCCTTGGTCCAGGGAAATTCAGCCTAAAAGCTACTCCCAGGCAATATAACCAGAGACTAACCAGAGAATCACAGGCGATGAAAGGGCCTGGCCTCTTTGACGGGGGACTCCAGAGCCCAGAGGGCTGGAGGACGGGTAGGGTAGCAGGTTGCAGACTTGGAGATCTGCTCATCCCCATGGCTCAAGCCCAGCTTCCAGGAAACCCACACTCCGGGGGTTCACCATGTCCTACTCAGCTTGCTGGAGGTCAAGTGCAACCTGGACCCCCTGAGCCCACAGACTTCCAATCCACACTTCTCCACTGTGGAGCAGCTGCTAACTTAGGCAGCTGGCCACGTGCCACAAAGCAAGTTAGGCAAACACGGACGGTGGCTCCCAGAGACAACTGCATGTCCTCCTACCTGGGGACCTAATTTGGTGGGGTCAGAGAGAGGGCTTATCCACACATGCCCAGAAGCAAGCCCACTTAGATGGTCAGCAGGGTACAGGCTCTGGTTTGATCCAGAAGCAAGGGGACAGGGCAGGGGCACAGATTTGGAAAGTGAGGGTCGAACGGACGGCTGAGCATTTTAGGAAGAGACCTGCCATCCACTCTTGGCCTGAAGGTGGCAGCTCTTCCCATGTCTGGAAAGTGTTGGGAATTTCCTTCTCTGAAGCTCTTTAAAGTAGGCCAGCTCCTCTCTCCACTGCCTGGAACGTCTCCAACCTTCGGAGATTATGAAAGAGCCTCACTTCTGTTTTCAGAGATTTGTTGGTGGCATCATTCACACCACCCACAACTCTAAAGCCTGGGGTGGCACAGAGCAGCCTCTGAACAAAGGGCAAGACCCTCACCCCACCTCACCCCCACCTCCAGGAGCCCCCGAGGAGGCTGGGCAAGTGTACCCTGAGTGTCAAGTTGATATGGATGTTATTATCTGTCATGCCACCTGCTGGTCCTGTGGCCTTGGCTCTGAGGATGAGAGAATGCCTGTGATTTCCTCCCTACCCTCCTGCCCTCTTGCCTTCCTCACAAACAAATCACCTTCCAGGAGTCATCAGGCCAGGTAGGTTAGAAAGGTGAAGACGGAGCCTGTGAAGAGATGGAAGCCCTCATTGGTCCAATGGGATCCAGTAAGTGGATTCCAGGCAGTTGGCGTCCAGTGGAGCCGGCAGTGAGGCTGTGCCACTGGGGTGCAGAGCGCACCCTGCTGGGCACACCGGGGACTGCAGCTCCAACCTCTGCATCTAGGCAAGCTCGGGAGGGACTAGTTCTAATAGCGACAATAACTGCTGATGCTGACTGTGTGCTTGGCACTCTTCCAGGTACTTTATATCTATTAATTCGTTTAATGCTAACAATGACCTTGTCCTGTTGGTACCTGATTTTAATGATTACGAAACCGAGGCACAGAGAGGTTAAAGAACTTGTCCGAGGTCATACAACTGATAAGTGGCAGTTCTGAGATTCAAACCCAAGGCAACCCGGCTTGGCACAAGAGACTATTTTAAAGGTTAAACTGAGGTGCCTCTTAAAGATACAGTCAGTGTTGCAGCCCAACCAGGGTCATTGCCTGCTGCTCAAGAGGAAGCCAAAACACTGAGATGCAGGGGGTACAGCAGGTGTTTCGGTGGAGATGAGTTTAACACTGTAGGTGCCACATGAGGAGATGAGAAGAATTTCTAAAATCTGTCTTCCTGAGGATCAAGAGAAAGGTTTTTTAAGATGGGTTGGCAGGCAAAGGGGTAGGCAGTTGGGTCCGCTGGGGATGAACTCATAGGGCCAAGAAGCAGAAATTGTCTTCTTGTGCTGAGTCAGTTCCCAGCTTGCGAGACCAATGGAGTTGGTTCCTTGGGGAAGAGATCTCAAAGACCAGCCTTAGGTTTCACAAGGATGATATTATCTGTGGAAGCAATGAGAAGAGCTAAGAATCTTTATGGCCATCAGCTATGTGACTCCTGAGTAGTAAGCAATTATAGGAAAGCAAGCTAGGAAACAGTGGCTGGTTAGATATATATTTTAATTATGCCTATACCTTTGCAGAGCTCAGGTCCCTACCACCTTACAGCATTTTATTACTTTTATAAAGGGCAGTTTTATCAGCACCACTGTGGACAGAGGCTGGGTGCAGAATTATGGCAGAACAGGTTTCCAGGCCCAAGTCTGTTCTGTGTACAGAGCACAGAGCTCTGTCACTTGGCCACCAGTGTGGCAGTGGTTGCTCTGGGGTCCAGGTGGCAGCCAGCAGAGCAAAAGGGCAGCCTACCCTTGGGTAATGAAGCCGCAGGGAGCTGATTCTGAGGGCGTTGGGCCTCTCCCGAGCCCCCTCCAGCAACACCGAGCTCTGTAACTGCGCTCCAAACCCTGAAATGGTGCAGTGCAAGCCCCTGACAACACAGCAGACGCAGGGGAATAGCAGCAGAGTTAGAATAACAAATGCCAAATACGCAGTGGGAGCTACATAAACATTGGAATGGAAATGAAGTTAGGTAACACACAGCTCAGAATGGACTTTGGGGACTGCTTTTCTTTTTTCTTTTCATTCTGTAGATGAAAGAGAAAATTAAACACTAAACATAAAGCCAATGTTCAGGGGGAGAAGAAATCTGCTAGGCCTGCCTCTGAGGCCCCCATCAGGCCTGAAGCCTGGTGCCTGGGGCCTAGATGTCCCTGGCCACCTTCTGCAGACACTGTGGGCGTGGGGGTGGTGAGGGCATATTTCAACATAACCAACCTTCAACAAAGAGTCTGTGCACAAGAAGCGCTGCAGGGGGCAGGTGCAGCCATAACGCATCAGCTGAAACTATTAGAGCTACTAATTGCTGTCTGGGATGATCCAGGCTCTAACCGGGGCTTTTATGAACCTGCAGAATTCCCAGGGAGCCTGCAGGGCTGCGGCTTCTCAGCGTCCTCCTGCAGAGCAGCGGCAGCCACTGAGCTAATCAGCCTGTCCTCAGCCTGCCCGGCCCTTCCCTCCCCCACCTCAGTTTGGGTCCCAGCGTCTTGCAGCCTAATTATTCCTGGGGTTGGGGACAGATGCGGAGGCTGGACTCATAATTATATTAAGAGCTTTTGACAGGACCAACCTTTCTGTCTTCTATTTCTGTCTTGTTGAAATTCTACTGTGCCACGTTAATGGCTGAAATAAATGTGAGAGGAAGGATCCATCAACCCTTTCTGGAAACCGAGGAGACAGTGCAGGGTACTGTGTGCCCAGCACTCGTGGCTGTGGGGAGATTAATGGTTTGTTCTCTTGCCTAATAGGAAGACTGCCCAGACTTAAACGATGAAAAATAAAAAATCCCATGTTGTCTCACTTAGAGTTAAATTCATTGCCTTCCATTTTATCCCAATCTCAAATGATAAGACTGAATGAGGCCCCAGAGGGTATCTGGTCTACTTGGGTTCCTATCTCATGGGCCACCTCTCTCCTGCACCTCTGCTCTCGCCTTGACCTGTCCTGTGGAAGTTTGCCTTGCTGGGTATAAACAGGTTAGTGCCAGGAAAGTCAAAGCCACTGGCCAGGGCCTTCAACTGGCATATTGGCCAAGGTCCCCGCTGTCTGCCCTGCCAACACCGGCCTCGCTGACCTCAAGCAGAGTTCACAGTGTGAGAGTGTCAGAGCCAGCACAGGGTTCAAGCCGACAGCAGGAGAGTTGCAGGCAAGATGGCCTTCTCAGTGTGATAATGGCGCCATGCACAAGTAGCTACCTGCCCTTGCTGAAGACACTAATAACGACTAACATTATCAATTATACACCACATGCCAGAACTGACATAGGTGCATGACATGGCTGGTCTAATTTAAGCTTCATGACAACCCTGTGAATTAAGCATTAGTAGGGAAATATCTTGGGGCCCCCAACCTTGACTTCTGTCCTCCTCCACTGCCCTCCTGTCCACCCTTCTCAGGCAGATTTTCACCAGGGCTTGGTGGGCTCCAGAGGGGTTGCAGAGAGGAACCACCACCCTTGACAGCTTTGCTCCTGAAAGTCTATGAATTTTAGCTCACGCTCTGTTCATGGCCATTGATCTGCCCTTCACACGTTTTAGTTTGGAGATATGAAACACCAACTTTACACAAGTCTCATCATTCCAAGAGTTTCATTATCACATTCAAGAGCTTTGCTGCTGGCGGATGAATGGCTTCCCAGCTAGATGCTGACTAATCAGTAGCTGCAACAAGACCAGAGCATCACAAGGGTTGTGACTGCTTCCTTCTCCCTATCAGGATGTGCATCGGTCAAGAGGATACGTGGCTGCAAGTGACAGAAAGCCAGACTTTGAGGAGTTTAAACAGAAAGTGGTGTATTGGTTACACATACCAAGAATTATTCGTCTGGGTAGCTGATGGTCCAGTGGCTCAGTGAGGTCAGGGCCAGCTGTTCTTGGCCTTTGTACCAGGTTGCAAGATGGCTCGCACTTCTCAAGGCACATGACCCCACTAAACCAAGACGAAGGTGGGCAGAGGTGGAGTTGACAGTATCTATCCCTTTCATCAGAAAAAGCGATGACCTTCCCAAAAGCTCCTAATGGACTTCTGCCGACATCCCATTAGCCGGAGCTGTGTCATGTGATGGTATCAGGCCCTGAGAAAGGGACCCATTGCCCTTTATAACAGAGACTTTATAATGGAGACAAGGGAGGGGGACTCTGTGCTGAGTCAATCGGCAGGTGGTATCTGCCAGAGGAACCATTTCTCAAGCACCATCTAGATCCACAATTCCTACCCGTGCCCCACTGCATTCTAGCTACGTGACCTCAAGAGTCACCTAACCTATGATGTCCCGGTGTCCTCATTTGTGAAGCAGAGGTAATAGCAGCTACTCAACAGGTATGTTTAAGAGGTGCCTCAGTTTAGCCTTTTAAAATATTCTCCTGAGTTAATGCTAATTGCCTTGGGTTTGAAACACAGAACTGCCACTCACCAGTTGTTCTAAATGAATCTGAATACTGTGAAAGCACCACCCCAGTGCCTGGCAGGTGTTGTACAGCCAGGTCCCGATCAAACTAACAGGGAACAGCTGGCAGAGCCCAGCACCAAGCCGGCCTTCTCCACATTCTGTCCTTTTCCTGCCTGTCTTCAAGCTCCCCTGCCTGCCATGTGGGGCAGCCCAGGCTTGGCGAGTTCCTAAGATGAATGTCAGAGAACCACTAATGAGAGTGGATCAAAGCAAGGGCCCCATGGCTGCAGGGCCTGCGTCGAATCCTGGTTCACTTCCTTACAGCTGTGGCCCGTGGCTAAGTTACTTAAGTTCCCAGAACCCTCACCCCCTAAAATGGGGAAATCATTGTGTTGTTATGAAAATCGGTGCCATATTGCTTGTAAAGCACAGTGCAAGGATTTGATAACAGCAGGTGTTAATATTAGAGAGATGAACGCTCCAGGGCTGGCCGCCTTCAGGCACTATCAACCCCGTCCTACCCTTGCGCAGCTGGAATGAAGTTCAGCAGGAAGAGCCAGCCTGGGTTTGAATCCCAGCTCTGTTCTGTTGGGCTGCCCTTTGCCTGTTTGAACCTGAATTCGTTTCCCGCACAGTGAGGGAGAGTGTCCCTTCTGGCTCCCCGGAGAACTGGAGACAATGCTGAAAAGCACCAAGCAGAGAAAGGACTCAGTGTATAGCAGCTGTTCTTCTGGAACTCGAATCAGGGTTGCCAGGCTATGCCAGGCATGGCTCAGGGCAAAGGGGTGCTTAGTAGCTCTGTTGAAAGACAGCTTGAGGATTTCTCTGGAGTTCTTTGGCAGGGTGTCTGCTTTATGGAACTGGGTAACGCCATGGTCCCTAGGGCTCAGCCACCGTTGACAAGTTAAGCAAAGAGGGATGGGCACAGGCGGTCACTCCAGCCCTGCCCTCGGGGCCCTGGATCACATTAGAAGCGAGACTGACGATGGCACGGTCACCAGGGCCCACACCCACTCTGAGGCCCCAGCAGTTCAGGTTTCGACTCTCCCTGAAGTGGTCCAGGGGCTTTGAGAGAGAAGGAAGGCAAGAAAGTGAAGTGTTTCACAATTTCTGTGCGACTCTTTCCACACACACTGCCTCAGTTCTATGGGGGTCAGGTCTGTGAATGAAGGTAGAAAAGGATTGGGGAAGATTAAGATTTGCTCTTTGTAGCTGGAAATGACAGCTTCATTCCTGGCATTGCCTCTGGGAGTTACAGGATCACTCTACACCCTGCCAGAATGAGGCGTCTGAGGACAAAGGAGCCACCAACCCAGGGAACAGACACCTTTTGCTTGCAGGATACAAAGGTCCAAGCTGATACTATTTTATGCCACCTCCAGAAGCATTATTTCTCCATTCGCCAGTAGTTAAAATAGGCATTGCTCAGTCTGCATGGTACTCAGACAAACTAGGAGTAGTTAATGAAGACCACCCACGTATATTTTCTCATCCAACATACATAAGCGTGGGCTGGTGGTATGAAAATTGGAGAAATGAGGAAACTGGGGTACAGAGAATTATACAATTTTCCTAAAGTCATAAGTAGGAATTGCAGGAAAGGCTTAAACAATATCCCCAGCGAGTTTTGTGCCCATGCATGGGTAAATCACATTGCCAATCTGTGCCTTGGCTTCCTCACCATGGGGTGGCACAGGCTCTTGGCTTGGAATATGGGATTTAAACTTAGACCTATGGCTTTGCCACTACCAGTTCTGTGGCGTTGGCACTGCATAGACCTTGTTCTGTCATCAAAATGGGGATAATGTCTACTATACAACATTACTGCAAGGAACATGAGATATGCTCAATAAGGGGTGTTGTGTACTGTTACCTTAGTAATAATATTCTCTAGATCTTATTTAACAGTGTGGCACCAACAACAGGGTGACCCTCTTGCACATTATTTATGTATTTCTTTAAATTGATCTATTTAGACATTAGACGGGGGCTTAATTTG